GGTTTGAGTGTGTTGTGTGTGTGTGCGTGTGCGTGCGTGTATGTGTGTTTTAGGCCGGACCTGCCGGTGCAGCAAAAGCCGAACTGTCAAAGAGCTCTGGGACTGGCGCGTCGGCTGTGACATGTCTGGGTCGACCCGCTGCCGACGCTAAGCGCGCGGAGGACTTTCCGCACTTCTTCGAGGGAGCCGGGGGCCGGGAAACAACGAGGGAAGGCATTATTAGTAAGGCGCAGAAGGACGCCGGAGAAGGTGCAAAAAGGGGAACAGGCCAAGGTTCCCTCCCTCGGGCAACGTCAGTCTCGTAGGTACGGTACGGTACGGTACGGTACCTTGTCTCCTTTCGCGAAACTACACGCCTGTCCTGTCCTCAATGAAATTGTTTTCTGTTTCCCTTTTTTGTCGTCTTCGATCAAAATCAGCCCAAGCTGCTGTAGTTACACCCCGTAGCAGCAGCCCTCAATTCCACCGCCACCACCACATATCATACCTTCGCAGCAGCGATTGTCTCTCCTTCAGACTATCCCCATCCTCTATCATGACAGCATCCTCGTGGCTCCGGATTCCCAAGGAGTCTCCCTTCTCCGTGGCCAATATCCCCTTTGGAATCATTTCTACCGCGACCTCATCTACCCCTCATCCAGCAATCGCCATTGGCGACTATGCCCTAGACCTCTTCGTCTTCGCCTCAGGCGGCGGGTTTGCCCAGTTGCACTCGTTCAAACACCTTGATGTATTCTCCCAGCCAACGTTGAACGACTTTGCAGCCCTCGGGAGACCCGTTCATCGCCAGGTGCGAGAATACCTGCAGGCTATTTTCAAAGAAGATACCCCTTACCCTGAACTACTCAAATCAAACGAAGCCCTCAGAAGCTCTGCCTTGATTCCCCGAAAAGATGTTACCAATCATCTCCCCCTCAGCATTGGCGATTACACTGACTTCTACGCCGGTCTCAACCACGCTTACAATGTGGGCGTTCTGTTCCGTGGGCCCGACAATGCCCTCCAGCCAAACTACAAGCACCTGCCAGTCGGATATCACGGCCGCGCATCATCAGTGATCGTCTCCGGCCAGCCCGTGCGCCGGCCAAACGGCCAAATCCTTGCCAACCCCGCTGCAAACCCCAAGGAACCCACCTTCTCCCCCTGCAGGAGACTGGACATGGAGCTTGAACTGGCCGTGTTTGTCGCCAAAGGCAACAAATTGGGCGAGCCAATCCCTATCGACCAGGCTGAGGATTGCCTGTTTGGCGTCGTGTTGATGAATGATTGGTCAGCCCGCGACATCCAGGCGTGGGAATACGTGCCGCTGGGTCCGTTCAATGCGAAGAACTTTGCAACCACTATCACACCCTGGGTTGTGCTGATGGATGCCTTGGAGCCTTTCCGTACTACGGGACTGAACCCGGAAAGGCCGCTGCTCCCGTACCTCCAGGAGAAGAAGGCGGAGAATGTCTATGATATACCCTTGGAAGTGACTCTTGTCGTCAACGGCAAGGATACGAAGATTGCAGAGTCGAACTCGAAGAACCTGCTTTTCTCTTTCCCACAGATGCTGGCTCACCACTCGATTACGGGTTGCAACATGAGAACCGGCGACCTTTTGGGTAGCGGGACGATCTCTGGCGAGAAGCCCGGGACGCTGGGCAGCTTGTTGGAGAGCACCAATGGTGGGAAGAATCCGATTAAGCTGGCTGATGGGACGGAGCGGGTTTTCTTGCAGGATGGGGATGAGGTTATTCTGCGGGGCGCTGCTGGTAAAGAGGGAAGTTATGTTGGTTTTGGTGACTGTACTGCTGTCATTTTGCCAGCGCCTAAGATCTAGGGATTTTATGTAACATCACTATTAAGTTGTTTGATTTGTTGTGATACATAGATAGAATTTTTTCTTTTTTTATGAAAAAAAAGAAAAATACTTCATGTTTCTTCTGATCAGATAACTACCTAGATGGATGCATGCTAATTTCCTGTTGAACCCAGGAAACCCAACCATTCATAATATTCAAAATATTATGCGGTGGTTTAAAAATCCAGTATAGCTTTTTTTATATACATACCAAAAAAAAAAAAAAACCTACCCCCTCCTCATCTCCTCTGGGGTATCAGGCTGCCTGCTCCAATGCGCTTTCTGAACCGCCTCCAGCCCCTCCAGCCTCTCAAATACAGCCTTCACCGTTGGATACGGCGAGAAATCCACCTCAACCCTCTGCGCCGCCCACACCGCAGGGACAAGACATACATCCGCCAGCGTCACAGCATCACCAACGCAATACGTGCCCGCCCACTGGCTAACCAGCTTCTCCAGCGCCGTGAATCCATCGACGTTCAGCTCGCAAGCCCAGGCGGTATTATCCCCACCGAAGGCCTTTACCTTCTTCTGTATGCGAAGGTTCGTCACGGGCTGGATGTCGCAGGCTATGATGTTTACGAGCGTGCGGACACGGGCGCGGAGCTGCGGCGCCGACACTGGGGGCAGCAGGGCGGGTTGCGTAGCGATGTCCTCGAGGTATTCGAGCGCGGCGATGGATTGGGTGATGGGGAAGGCCGTCTCGGTGTTTGTGGTAGAATCGGGGGAGTGGGTATTGCTATCATCCTTCGCAGTGACGGCGAGGACGGGCACGGTTGCTGAAGGGTTGAGGGAGCGGTGGGCGTCGGAGAGCTGTTCGCCCTTGAGCAGGTTTACGAAGGTTGTGGTGTGGTGGAGCTGTTTCAGGTTGAGGGCTATGCGGAGGCGGCCGGCGCAGGAGGAGCGGAAGTAGCTATAGAGGTGAAACTGGGGGGAGGGGGACTGGGAGGGGGATGATTGGGAGGACATGTCGGATTTGGATTCTGGGTGTGGTGGTGTGGATTGATGGGGGGGTTTGTGGTATAGGCTTTGGTGGATGGGATTGACTGTGATGTTGCCGAGGCAGTGATAGTGTTTATGCTGTATTACTATGTGGTTGATTCGGGAGAAAGGTGTGGTGAGCATATTACGGATCGGTGGGATTGATTGATATGAACGTGCAACTTTTAACTTCAACAAGTCACAATATAAACTCCACGCATGCCTGGCATTGGATGGAGTGGAGCGGTTGTATTCGGTTCCGCAGGTGGAGACATGGCAATTACCACGCCGGGGTTGCCGGAACTCATCCGCGCCCACTTTTTTTTACATTATAATTCCCCCAGCCCTATCAACTTAACTAGTTAATGTAACTAATCAATATTAACGTTAATAGTTAACTATTATCAGTATCATTACTCAATTCGCTATTGGGTGTAGGGAATTGCGGGGAGCGAGGGGTAACGTGATGGCCTGTGCCCTTGGCGCCCGCTTTCCCAGATATTCGAACCAAGCCCCTGAGTAACACTTACAGTTATGTATACATATGTGTACATGGCCGGGGGGATGCAGCAGGTAGTTAGTTATACTTCAATGGGTTACTTGCTATTGGTTGCTTCGAGTTCGTAGGATTGCTCTGAACGGAGTAAAGTAGTTATTGGTTTGATAACGACCTGAGGACCGAGGGAGTTTATAATGCTCTAGCTATGTTCAATGGAGCAAGGACGGCAAGCAGGCATATCTCGCCTGAAACTACGCGCAACTGTACACTCGAATCAGCTGGGGATAGTTACTACAAGGGAGGGGTCATCTCCATTTGGCGAGTAAAGTTATTCCGCGAAAACAACTCGAACGGCCCTCAGAGATGTTAGAAAATGCCCACCCACCCCGGAGGGTCAAGCCATGGTTCTGATCTGCCATGTACCGGACGGATCTCGGGCTGGGTTAAGCTGTTTTGGTTTTGCATGTGTCTCCGTTCCAGTCGATATTCATATCAACGCAGATAGCAATCAATTTACGTTGTAGTTCGGGTGCGAGTAAAGGGGGACCAGATCCTGGGGTGCGCTGGTTGCAAAAGCGGTCAGGAAAGTCAAAATGAACATCAATCTTGTTTAAATGGTCGTCAAAGAGTTGGTTTGACCAGACTGCAGAATAGCACTGGAGTCTGAAGGCGGTTTTGGCCAGGGGAAGCTTAGATGACAGGGGGAGGAGTAGGGCTTTAGATATTGCATCTGCCCAACAACAACCTCACCCCCTGGAAGATGTCCTGATACATGAGTATCAAAGAATCACCAGCAAGCAATTGTCCCTGCAGTGCCCTGCTTAACCCGTCCTCTTTCATGCACAGAGCACATCAAACACTGCTCTATATTCATGACCATTATTGGTGTTCTCAGCGCTGGACCACACTGTCTCTGGAGTTGTCCATCATCATCAGCTAATCCACATCACCTTGCCTGCTTAGTCGTTCATCCCGGTTAGGGAAAATGCCCATCACCTGGGCATCCATCAGCAACACCGAAATCCCTTCATCTCATCTTCTTCCTCCTTCTCTTCCTCTCCATCTACTTCTCCATTGAGTCCCTCGTTTCCCCCCCCCCCCCCCCCCCCCCTTATTTTTTTTTAATATCTGACCAAACTTCAAGAGATCCCAACCTCTGCATCTAGCTAATCTCATCTGTATCAAGGTATCCCGGGGGCACATCAACCTCACCAAACAAGTTCCTACTATTGGCCCACCCGTAAAAAGCTTTCCCTTCAATCCGTCCGCGTTCTCGTGTGCCGCGTCAAAAAGTTGATCCCACACGGTCGCGACCTGTACACTATTCCCCCCCCCCCCCCCCTTCCCTTTTCTGCAACTATCAACCGTCGACAGACCCTATCAGTCTCCATTGACACTTTGTCGAGATGGATGAAAAGAAGGCTGAAATGCCCTATGACGTCCAGTGCTTGATCTTCGAAGCAATCGTGTGTCTCGATGACGTGGAGACCCAGGAGGATTGGAAGAATATCACAGGCGCGCGTTTGGTTTGCAGTAAGTACATATATATATATCTCGCGTTGCTGTGCTCCTCTTTCAATTCCCTCCAAAGACGTAACTGACAACGTCCGCTCAGAGGACTGGAACTGGTCCATTAAGCGACAGCTGCTTCTCACAAATACTCCTGCTGATAAAATCCTCAAGTTTGGCAGTGAAGGAATCTGCCTTGACAAATTGAGAGCTACTCTCCCTCTTGTTATGGGGTATGAGCTCAACTCAAAGCATGATTACGATCTTGATGCCGACATGGATGATTACCCCGAGCTTGTTGAAGCCAAAAAGAGAATCATCACAGTCGGGCACTCTGTGTTTAGGTACAAAATTAGACGACAACGTCGCCCAGTCACCTCTGGAACGCCAGAGGCATGGATGCAGGAGGCCACTATCCGTGGGTTACCACTTGCATGCGTCTGCTCCTGGGCCGGGGTACAAGCGTTATCCGTGCAGGTGGACAATCCACTCTGGTGAACTTGTCCACGGAGCATGACCAGCTGGGTTCTCTCAACTTTCTTCACCGCTATGGCGTCCACCAGGTCGAATTCTACGGAAGGGGAGAGCATCCGGTCGCTTTCGCCATCCACAAGCAAAAATTGGAATTCGTCGACGCTTTGCTCAGTCTTGGGTTCAAATCGGCCGTTTTGGTGCGTCCCCGCGAGTCTTCCGTCGAATGGTTAACGCCAATCACCCACGCCGTCCAATTTGGGGACCACAAATTGGCCTCCGTTCTGTTTCGCTACATCAGTCCGAATGAGGAAGAGGGTGTCATTGGCTTGACTCCATTGGTCAGGTCCATTTTGAAAAACGATATGCGGATGATGAAGCTTCTCCTTGATCATGGGGCACACGTCAATCCAGTTCACAACAAGACCATTTTCCCACTCGGAGTAGCCGTGGCGAACAACAACGTCGAAGCGGTCGAGCTGCTGCTTGACCTTGGGGCGGATATTGATAACACTGACGCTTATTTCTACAAAGCCCTGGACTTTGCCATTCGCAACAATCTCGAAAATATGGCTGTCCTGCTCCTCAACCGTAGTATCAGAGTCACGACATACAACGTCAAGCTCGCGGCGCGTTTCAGCACACTTGATGCCCTCGTCAAGCTCATCGAGCGTCCAGGGGTTGCACCACATTTTGAAAAATCCAACGGGCTACTCATAACCCGTGTTCCTGACCGCAACGGCAGACTTCAGGTACTTATGCGCGATAATCCCCGCGTTCTGGCCTACATCTCGACCACGAGCGACAATGTGGCGAAATACGTCGCTCTTGTAAAGGGGATCTTTGCAAAGTATCAGCGAGACATTGCGAAATCACGTCAAAATCTGATTGTTCGAACCAAGAATCCCATGCTCTTGCACTTTGCTGTGAAAGCGGGTCTTACTCGTGTTGTTGAGGACATGCTTCAAGCCGGTGCTGATCCAAATGCGTTGACTGCCATGAACCCCAAGCGTTCGACCCTCCAAACTGCCATTCGCAAACAGAATCTGCCCATCATCCGCTTGCTGCTGAAGAAAAGTGCCGATGTGAACTCCAAGGGTGGGCGCCATGGCTCCCCATTGAATGCTGTGAAACACGTGCGCAATAAGGCTATTCTGTGTATGTTGATAGGATACGGCGTCATCTATGATAGCTCAATTGTCAACGAGTACGCGTCCTGGCCCGAGACGGAGACCAAGGTGGTCAAGGCAAACAAAAGGGAGCCGAAGTTTTCGAGCCTGAAAGCAAAGTTGCCTTCTCTTCCCAACATCTTTGCACGCACAATACAATATCTGCACCGCAAGAAGGGGTGGGAAGTCGCTTTGTTGGGCTTGAAAAATGATGGACGTTGATGAGTACTGAGACGCACCCACGCAGACAAAATCTCAGGTTCAACGTGGATTGAGAGGCTAAGTCGATTTACGGGATAAGCATCCAAGCACAGCATCCCGTGTGTTCTCTTTCCCTCTCGCGGTTTCCACTATATGATTTTCTTCGATCCATGGATTCTTTTTTTTTTCTAGCGTCAAATGATGTTTGGTCTTTTTACCGGAAATTCTGATCTCAACAGAGATTTCCCCCCCTCCTTTGAGGAGTGATTTCGTCCACCATGGTTTTCTCTTCTTCTCTTGCGACCGATTTCGATCCCCACTGTACTATTTTTGCCGATTTTATCTGATGAGGTGACCTCCCACCATTTGTCCCATTTTCGACAAATGGTATTCCAGAAGCCCAAGCTTTCCATGTTATTAAATTTTATATGATTCTCCCTGTCTGGCCCAATTTTCACAAAAACACTTTCCGGGTTCACTTTTCTCTGGGGTGAAGGGGATCCGCGATGTTCCACCGATGGTCGTTTTTTTTTTTTTTTTTTTTTTTTTTCCCAACGAATGGCGCTCTCCATTCTCATTCTTTTCCTATATTAAAAACATTATCTGATATCCCTCTATGCTGCAACATCGTTCCCAGGTTGTGGTCTGGAAGCATGCTGACGTGAAGTCAAGGACATAATACTGGGATATGCCTAATTTTATACACCATAGTTAGTTTAAAAATGACTAACCTAGTGTCGAAGAAATGAGAACAATTGCCAGTTAACAAGACAAGACTCCTCTCTAGGATGTTAGAATGTTTGCATTCCTCACTTCTCTCTTTGCAGGCTCCCTCTTCTGAATTCGAACTATTCCCAAGTCTCAGAGTCGCTTAAGAGACTTGGATTTTCCATCGCCGGTCACTTCTCAGACTCAACCAGCCAACCCCCCTTGAGGGTGGACCGATCTTGCAGAGGAACCTGCAGAAGGGATAAGGGATGGCGAGATGTAACTAAGTGGTTGCAACAAAGGTTCTCAACCCTACGATGGATAACTATGGCTGGTCACCGTTTCCTCGGCGGCAGGATCTGTAAACTCAGCCAAAAAATAAAATAAAATAAAATAAAAAACCAAAACAAGGCAAAGCAAGCAACAAACCGACCAACCAAAAAATAAAACAATGATAATGAAAGGGGAAAAAGAAGACTAGGATCAACAGATAATTTGACAATTTAATACGAGGACGTTAATCTATTTACGCCAAAATCCCAATAGTCGGGCCCTGTAAAAGTTGCCCTGTTGCAAACCACAGAGTTTAAGTATCTGTCCCAAAATTTTGTACCAGCAATGGTGGATCCAAGGACATTGGAAGCCTGGAAATACCTTAAGAAAGTCAATTATCCGAGCTGAACAACCCAAGATTGCATACATGGCAGGCTTAAATGTGTATCAGCTGCACTATCTTCGATCAACTATGGAGTAGTCAATGAGACTCGATTATTTTGAACGAGAGAATGAAAACCCTGGGTGGAAGCTCTCCCAAACTGCGCTGTGAACATGCGAGAATATTATTAATTGCGATATACGCATGGGCATCTGCTATCCCAGCCATCGAGCAGTATGAGGAAGTTGGAAATAGTGCCACCCGCAATCAAGGAGAATGAAGAGAAAACAAAGATCAGTCACGAACTAAGATAACGCAGGTTACGTGCGTACGGCAAGTTCATTAACCAAGCAACTCAAAGGGGTTGTCCCGCAATTGAGCAATTTTCTGCAGGCCAATGATATCTTGAGACCCCCAGAATTCCATTTGCAAGTCTGGGGGGATGACACACTCTCAGTTGGACAATGCATAAACTTCCAACATGGACTATGGACAGCGGAAATTTTGGAATCAATTCAAGTGAAAGCAAGATATAGATCCAAAGATATCGTTTGAACAGAAGCCTACAATTCCATCGTTGCAGGAGAACAAGATATTCGGTCTTGCTAATTCGACGCTTGTTCACTGAATCACAACTCACTGCTACAACATGACCTGGCGCACCAGAACCCTCATCGATAGCTCAGGGTGGAACAGCTACCGTGAATCAATTATCATCTGATGATTCATAGCCGATTTCTGAACCCTGTATCAGCCCCGCAGAAACACTTCGTTCATTTGTGGGGAAGATGTATCTCAGGAGAATCGACGAAAACGGCTTGGAGGTCATCGGATGAAAAACCCGCAATGTAACCACAAGAAATCAAACAAGAATAAATGAACAATAATGAAGCATCCCTGTTTCTTGCTCTTTGGGATTGACTGACGATCCGACCCGCTATCACTTACTTCCGCATGATTAATTGACTAACCTAAAATTTCCCCATACGGCTGGGTAAGTCACAAGCACGTCCATTGAGGCCCTGCACGGAGAAAGTTGCATTAAAATCATGGGAACTCCGCCCGTTTGTACGGAGTACGGAGTATTGACAATTTCATGGATTCATGGATTTTGGTCTGGGGTTTGGGATATATTGATTTCCCGCCACACTCTTGTATTATTCGGCGTCCTTTCACTTAACTAGCGTGAGCGTGGGGATATGCGGCCCTTGCAGATCGCTGCGCACGGAGGATATGAACATCTGCCCCATTTTTATATCTGGAAAGGTTTTTGCTTTTTAATTCTCGAGGTCTCCACTTCTTTTTTCGCCCCATATTTTTTGCCGCCCCCATTCCTTTCCTATGACATTCAGAACTAATAAGATGGTAACCCCAAATTTTAACATCAGCGAGATACAGGTAATTTACTTGTGCACCCCCAATGTAACAAATAGTTGAGGGGCTGATTCAAGCTCGCAGAGTAGTGAACGTCGGCAAAGAGGACACGGGGAAACCAGAAATTTTAACGAAATATATAACTGCCTAGTTAAATGGCCCTGGCAATGAGATTCCCGAGCAAAGCCGTGTTTCGCAATTAGTCACGCGCCAAAAGAATATGGACATTCGACTGCCCGTTGAAGTGGAGCCAAGAACATATATATGAAAGTCAAGATCCTGACCGGTTGGTTGTATGGTCCAGAGAATGTAGCGGCAATTACCCATGGCCAGGTTGCAAGCAGGCAGATGGTATCAAGACAGCTGGCCCCCAACTAACTAGCTTTCCCCGGTTCGAACATGCGGCGGTAGAAAAGCAGCTAAACGAGCTGGCCAGGATTAATTGACAGGGTGGACTTGTATCATCAAACCTGCCGATTTTAATTGTCAAAACATGATGTAAAAGGAATGGATAGTTTAGATATCTAGAGTCACTAAATTTGCGAAACAGACTTGTTATTTGCCGTCAAGAAGGCAAACTACCCGACGAGAGCACCCCACGATCTAATAGTCAGGTTACCAGCGGGGGGCGCTAGTGAGGAAAATATTGGGTAGTTCTAGACGACTCAAAGATGAGGACAGCTGCAGGATACACATTCTGCTGAACCACACCTAAGGTGAGTACGAGGCGTCGTCCCGAGTTTTCTTCAAAACGCACAAGCCGCAGGATTCCATGACCACCACCAAAAAATGGAGAGATGGGAGAAGCAGTATTCGTAAATAAAACCTCAGATGAACTCGCATTCCAAAGCCCCTGCCCTTTCATCTGGTTGACTCGAGTACGTCTCTTTTTCTTCTCCTTCTCCTTCTTCTCCTTCAATATTTACACCAAGCTCCATTGGGGATTTTGGGCTAGGAGGACGATGTGGACGAAATGGTTCTTTTGAAAGCAAAACGATCTCTGAGTGTGGTTGTCGTTGGGTACGTATGCGTGATATTTACATGTTCATTGACATTAATATATACCGTCATCTCCGCCTCAGATATCGGTTTTGAGCTAACCGGGAGAGATAGCGCAGGTATGAAATCAAGATCCGGGAGAACATATTAACGGGTGGAGAGGATGAGTTAACTTGTTATCATCGTTGAAGGTATTGGAGGGTTGGCAACGGCAATATCTTTGGCAATTCGGGGGCACAGGGTGCTCGTCCTCGAGATTTTACCAGAGGTATGTGAACATGCCTGTTAGCCGGTGTAATAGTGGGTAGCAGAAAGGAGAACGCTGACCGCTTCAGTAGATCCAGGAGATCGGTGCAGGAATCCAAATTGCTCCAAACATGGGTAGTATCCTTGCTCGTAAGTGATCTCTCATCGAACGTTTAATTCTTTCAGGCTAACATTCAGTGCCATAGGCTTGGGAATCGAGCCCGCGATCCAAGAGAAAGCTATTGTCCTTGAGACAATAGAGGTTGTTCGATGGCAAAATGGCAAGGTCCTGAGCAAAATCCCCGTTAATCACCAATACGGCAAAACTGCAGTCATCCACCGGGCGGATCTCCAGAGAGCCCTTATTGACAGGATATCCGAGCTGGATAATATTGAGATGCGACTCGGCGCAACAATAACTGATATTGACTTCGATCGCACAGCAGTCTGGCTTCAAGATGGTGAAATGGTGACTGGGGATGTGATTGTTGGAGCAGATGGAATCAAATCTATGATCAGAAACAAGATGATTCTGGACAGGGCCAACGGAATACTGCCTACCGGGGATAGGGCATTCCGGATCCTCATACACCGTGAAAAAATGCTTCGAGATAAAGAGCTTGCAAAATTAATAGACAAGCCAAAGGCAGTACGGTGGGTCGGCCCGCATCGACATATCGTAGGCTATCCTATACGCAACCACCAACTGTACAATGCAGTTTTCATTCATCCCGACAACGGGAGCGTGGGAGAATCCTGGACTATTCCCGGGACAAAAGAGGAGATGATGGAGATGTTTTGTGGCTGGGAACCTCGAGTATTGAAGTTGATAGAAGCTTCGACTCAGGTGTTGAAATCAAAACTTTGTTTACATCCGCCATTGCTAACCTGGGTAAAAGGTTCGTGCACTCTAGTTGGTGACGCGTGTCATCCCATGCTGTAAGTCGCAGGCATCCAGATCTAGATGGCAAGCCACATGCATGGATCAACCGATTGCTGATTCGCGCAGGCCCTATATCGCCCAAGGCGCTGCCCAGGCACTTGAGGATGCAGCCGCTCTTGGGGTAATCCTGTCCAACATATCGAGCGTGAAAAGCATCCCGTTTGCCCTTGGCGTGTATGAGAAGTGTCGGAAAAAACGTGCAGAAGCCGTCCAGCAGTCTGGTACTGCGAATAGAATTCCACTTCATCTTCCTGACGGGCCAGAGCAAGTCGCAAGGGATGAACGGTTTGCAACCGTGATGAAAGGGGATAGCAGTCCGGATAAATGGAATGATCGTGAAACACAGCAGCTGCTTTGGGGCCATGATGCAGAAGAAGCTGCAAACCAATGTTGGTCAGGTATGCCATGTCCCAAAGAGGGTATATAAAAGGCTCCAACAAACTATTCAGATGATCTGTTGTCAAGCCGCCCCTCGTTGCATAGCTAACGACATTAACTGTTTCTAGAATGCACAAGGGTGAAATGCCACCACCACAGTCTAAGCGCAAGACTGTGACATCAAGTGAAGCGCGGCGGAATTCACCACACACGCATCAATTAATACCGCTCTCAATACCACGGTCGACAACTAGGTGGCCGTCACGTTGTGGCTGTGTTAGAATGTGTATCCTCGGAGGCTCTCGAGATTCATCCTTGCGGCGCCGTGCTTTTCTCACAGTCCGAAGTTCGTGAGCAGCCACAGATGTGTGTCATTCAAGAGGGTGTTGATTTGAATAAGGAACCTGCTAGTGTCGGCGAATATATATGACTAAAAACGCCCAGGGCGTCGTATATAAAGATTGATCTTTGTGGCCCGGTAGTTTTCTCACGTAGGCTGGCCATCACCAAGAAGAGGCTAACAGCATCACTATCACCAATTTTTTTCTGGCATGTGTAGTTAAGGCAATCAGCCTTGTGGACCTTGCTGGTGGTCTTAGATCCGCGCCCCGAGGACGGTTACTTGTCTGTCCGGGTCCACATCCATAGCAGATAAAAGCAGTTATCCCCGCTTAGTTGGTTAGTTAGTTGCTGTTTGGATAGCAGATACGTTAACTAGTTAACTGATAACTGACCAGTTAACTGACAACGGAGATAAATCATAACTGAGAAAAAAGAGGAAAAGCGAATGTCACTCCCATCGCTCATACGCGTATGGAATGTGCCACAGCCAAATATTAAAATGATTAAATCCAACCTTTCCATTGCAACTGCTGCAAGGCCCCTCAGGAAGCTCGATATTTTCGTAATCGATCTACTCTAGAAGACAAGTTCACAAATCACTGCTGGAGAAGACTCCGGTATTCTTTTAAAAAAAACCGCTCAACATCATCGACGAATGTTTAACCAACTCTTCGGCGAGAGAGTACACCCTGTGTAGTGCCCTAGAAATGAGAATTCCACATATTGGGCCGAATTGCACGCGTCGAGCTCCGGGGCGACTGATCCGAAATATGGATGAATTGCTGCGATGATGATGTCACATTCATCAAGAAACTGATTAACGAGTAAATTAACTAACTAGCTAGTTATTTAGCTAGCTAAGCGTCTTAACTATGAATTACAGGAACTCCAAGGTGTGGAATGCTGGAGCGATATCTTCCCAGGCGAGTTAGCTCTCCCTTTATCATTTACTCGATTTTTCAAACGCCCGTATCCAGGCATTTCGGTGCTCCTCATTCGAAAGTTTACATGACTATTCGTTGAGTTGATTAACTCACTATTCGATTAGGGACATTGTTTCCAAGGTTTCATATACAAGTCTTCCGAGGTTCCAACTTAAAATTTATAAGCGATGAACCTAGGAGTAGACAGCAACCCCCAGCCCTGTTAGGGGGTTACGGGCGCGGGTAAACCTGGGCTTTTTATTATTTAGTTAGGGCTCTTGGCTTGTCACTGAATTTGGTCACCTCGGCCCCATGCTTAAGGGCAGCGAGTGGGCCAATATGGATGCCCCCGATCAGATCGAGTGGAGATTTGATTTCAAAGCATGGCATTATTCCTCAGTGTTTGCCATTCCTTGAGTAAGTTTTGCCGTTTTTTTTCTCACTTATTTGCTCTGGCGAAGCAGAATCTGAAATTCTACATCAGCACCTGTTTGCAGTAGTCCTCGTTTGGGCTGCCCGATGGATCGCATTCTCGCCATCTATTCCCATCTACGAAAGAAGGCTCAGCAGCGCCCCGATTGTTCCTGAAACAGTGATTTCAACAAGCTCTCATCGCCCATCATTAGAACATGCCATCCCAGAATATCGTTCGGAATGACCCCACGCCCGGGGTGGGGTATTTCACTCCATATCAAAATCCCCCTTCCGGGACCGCTGCCGACCCCCAATCTGATGGCTCCCGGCCACCCAGGCTTTTCCAACCTTTGAAAGTGAGGGGTGTAACCTTCCAGAATCGCATTGGGGTATGTATTCGATTATCTCATGCAAATGTTAATATCCAATACTGATGGAATGAGGGTCCATAGCTGTCTCCACTATGTCAATATTCTGCGCAGGATGGACATATGACGGACTGGCATATGAGCCATCTCGGAGGAATCGCCATGAGAGGACCCGGTTTTATCATGACGGAAGCAGCGTCGGTTCTTCCCGAAGGTCGAATCTCACCGGAGGATGTAGGCTTATGGAAGGATTCGCAAATTGAACCGATCAAACGAGTGGTGGAATTTGTTCACAGCCAGAATCAAGTAATCGGCATTCAACTTGCGCATGCAGGGCGCAAGGCGAGTAGCTTGGCTCCTTTCCTGGCAGTAAATAAAGTTGCAACGGAACAAGCAGGTGGCTGGCCAAAGAATGTCAAGGGACCCAGTGATATCCCGTTCTCAGCCGAGATGGCGCAACCAAAAGCAATGACGAAACGGGATATTGAGGAGGTGAAGAAAGCATGGGGTGCTGCCGTGAGACGTGCAGTCAAGGCGGGTGTGGACTATATCGAAATACACAATGCGCACGGCTACCTCCTCTTCTCATTCTGCTCACCAGCCTCAAACAACCGCACAGATGAGTACGGGGGTAGCTTCGAAAATCGTACCCGTCTTAGCAGCGAGATCATTACCATTACCCGCCAGAACATGCCCGAAGACATGCCCCTGTTCCTGCGGATTTCCGCCTCGGAATGGCTGGAGGAATCCCGTCCGGACCTCCAGAGCTGGAAATCTGAAGATACCGTACGATTTGCAAAAATCCTCGCAGAGAAAGGGGAAATCGATTTACTGGACGTTAGCTCGGGTGGGAATCACCCCGATCAAAGGATCAAGCCAGGGCCATGCTTCCAAGCCCCCCTTGCGTTTGCGGTGAAAAAGGCTGTGGGAGACAAACTTCTCGTTGGATCGGTCGGGATGATTAATAACGGCAACGATGCGAATAGGCTGATAGAAGAAGGGCTTGATATTGTATTTGTTGGTCGGCAATTCCAGAAGAACCCGGGCTCCGTATGGCAGTTTGCAGAGGATTTGGGCATTGAAATTAAGGTTGCTAACCAAATCGGATGGGGCTTTGGTATGCGAGGCTCCAAGGGGTTTTTGAAGACGAAGAAACGAGATGTGAAGATCTAGAATAACTTTAAAAATTATGGATATAGTGGTGAGAGAATGAATGATTTGCCTGCACGCCTATGAATGTCATGGGTTATGGTTTAAGCGTGGGATGGAGCAGGTTTGATGTTTGTCTGGTGGCGTCTTCAGAAATATAACTTCTTGGTATCTTCTCATTGACTTGTAAATAGAATCGTCTGGATCATAAAACTCCATAGATGGTGTAAATAGAGAACACTATACGGATACACATAAAATTTATGTTTTCACTGTCATCTTATATCCTCTGCAAGCGACGTCGGATCTTCTTTTCTTCAGTCTCTCATTACAGACCTACAAACCTTCAACAATAGGAAGCTCAAACTAACTATCCCTGGCAAACCACTGTAGCTCGAGGTAAATTCCCTTCATTAGTAGGCTTTTGCCATCACTAAAACTCCGGGGATTGTAGAAATCTCCAGTGTGGACCTCCTCTTGGACGCAACAACAGCTACCACGTAATCTAAACGCTGTCCACAACTGTACCTGAGTACATTTATCCTCTCCTTCCGCCATGATAACTATGTCCTCCTCTTGAACCCTTCTTTCATTTCGTACCAGCCGTAAAACGTGCGATCATGCAATTCACCACAATAGACGAGAGACACAAAGCTGCATTTATTTGGATGCAAAGAACGCAGAGAGCGGATTCGCCAAGTGGAAGAGGCGCGCTGTGATGCTAAGGTTTCCTCTCTATCTCGTGGGCATGTCTCTAGCTAAACGACGTGACGGCACTCCGATGGATGGTGCATTCGATATAATGCCCCGACTCTCACTTTTTGCTTGGACATCACTTCACACAGAGGCTTACCCCTGCCGTGAGGTTCAACGGTGTGCATCTAAAAGCAAATCTGCCGTCTGTCTTCCCTCAGCCGCGGTGATTGCCAACCGTGATATCCTTACATAGGAATCAGGATCGACTTCTATATCCCCAACTTGTACCGCGAAAAGATGTAACTGCCGATGCAAAAGTCACGACTGTCTTGCAAGTCTTAAATCTGGTCCTAGTTTAACAATTTTGTAGTTCCGTAAAAGAGATCAGAATCGAGGTGTATTGACAAGATAGTTTCGTCATGTCAATGGTGCACATATATATCCTTTCACGATGGCGAAGGAAATGAAAACCGACACCAAGCCGTTGTCTTTCTGGATGATCCGAGAGAATTTCTGGTCCACAGATCGTGTTTTGATGCTTGGTACAACGCTATCTTCCCCCAACACTCCCTGGGGAACAGAAGTCGTAGAGAATGACCGTTTGATGGAGAGATACGAGGCTGACTGTAAACCTCCTCTGGCTATCTCAGCACCCGCCCTCTCATGTCGTTGGACATTCTAGAGACTCCTCCCTCCTTCTCGAGGACCCCCACACGCCTTAATACAGAGACGCAGGCATTGGTTACACGTTGAGATCAAGATCATCCTTGAAATTCACCACTCGGATGCCCGGCCCTTGAAGTAACTTGACACCAGATTTCTTGAGATCAATAGCTACTTCAGCCGTTAACCACCATTGGGCTGCGATGTTGAACCTAATGAGACCTTCAACCAGCCTGCAGAAGTTGGCGTGCATTAGTTAGTTATTGCTTCAACCATCAAAGAAACGAATGCCATGAGGATAAAACTCTTCAACCTCTGGTTTGCGTTGTCTGTCTGTGACACATGATGGTCACTACTTACGCATGCTGAACTTGAAAACAAAAATTGCTTCAACTGGGGATCATGTTTAGTTACACGTCCTGGCGACGAGCAATTGTTCCATTGGCGGCATTCTCCTCAAAGCCCAACCAGGGTTCTGAAATCCTGGATCCAAGGGGGCATCAGCACCACGGAAAGCATAATTTGCCCCAGCCGGAACCTTTAATTTTAGAAAAAGACCAATCCGGAGCGAAGTGTTGGGGCTTACTCTACCCCACGGTATGCCAATGAGTTTAAGGCTGCTT